CGGGGAGGGGGGGGGGGGGGGGGGGGGGGGGGGGGGGGGGGGGGGGGGGGGTGGTGCATTGCGTGAGATGGAGAGTGAACTTGGCGCAAACGAATGGCGCGAGGGTTGTGGTGATGCATGCATGCCTTTGCAAGGACTAGCAACGAAATGAGAAAACAGAAAGAAAGACAGAAAGAAAGAAACTGAAACAGCTATCTAAAAGCTACTCGATATGTATCCAACACCTGGCACAGCATGCCACAAACACCCACCCGGGTGTGGTTGGCGGCGGAGTGAGGCGGCGGGCAGGAGGGGCAGACGCAGCGCGTCCACAGCAGATCGCTGCCCGTGTCCACCTGCAGGTTCACGGGCTGCCTCTGCCACCCCAGCTGCACCTGCACGTAGTATAGGCTGCTCGCAAGGGCAGGGGAGGCAGAGGGAAGAGGAGAATTAAGCCGCCTTAGAGGTCGAATGAATGGCTGTGGCTGCCTGCAGGTTCACTCACCCGCCCCTTTCGACCCCTTCTCTCACCCCCGCTCTCACCCCTCTCTCACCCCTCTCTCACCCCTCTCTCACCCCCCTCTCACCCCTCTCTCACCTCTCTCTCACCCCCCCTCTCACCCCCCTCTCACCCCTCTCTCACCCCTCTCTCACCCCTCTCTCACCCGTCTCTCACCCCTCACTCACCCGGATTTGCTGAGAAAGTAGCCATCAAAGGGGTACTGCACGCCCAGGCCCAGCAGCCTGCGAGGTGAAGGTGACATATGATTCCGCTCAAAAACCACCCTGCCCCTCTCACCCTCTCTCACCACCCCTCGCTCACTACTCCTCTCTCACCACCCCTCGCTCACCACCTCCCGCTTACCCGGATTTGCTGAGGAAGTAACCATCCAGGGGGTACTGCACGTCGCCCAGACCCAGCAGCCTGCGCCGCCCGCCTGCTGGTGGGGCCCACGGCAGGCCGTGCAAGAGCCATGATTGGCCGTCCTCGTCAGCGCGTTGCCTGAAACCATCTCTCTCAGCATGTCCGTTATTAGCATCCTCGGTTTCTTCTGGAATGGCCTGCTTGATGGGAAGGTACACGCCCTCAGGCGAGTGGCCCTGTGCCATCAGCTGGCGGAAGAATCGAGGCTGCGGCGAATCTGACGGCATTGAAGGCGACGCCTGGGATCGCACGGACGGCGCTCCTCTTGCTGCTGCTGCTGCTGTTGCGGTTGTTACTACTTCTGAGGTAAGTGCTTCAACAGCCGCTGCTGCTGGTGCTCCTCCCTGTGCTGCCGTCTCCACTGTTGTTGGCGCTTTTGCAACGTTGGTGAGTCGCACATGGCCCCACGCGCTCATCTGCTCCAACACCCGCCGCTCATGCACCTGGAGGTGGACGAAGACGCGGTGGGCTCAGGGAATCAATGTGGCGACATTAACAGGATTTGACTGGACCATGAGGGAATTGAACTGGACCATGAGGGAATTGAATTGGACCACGCCAGCATACGATAGAGGTGCAGGGGAAAGAACACAGCAGCAGTGCAGCAGTTCTGCGTGCGTAGAAAGCGGCCTCACTTATGTAGCATTCAGGCTTGCTTCTATTGCACTACAGTCGACGAATCAAATCCGATTCAGATGAACTCTTATTGCGATTCCTGGCCTGAATGGGGGATAAGGTCCAACGTATTGCCGGCTGTGTCATGATCTTCCGCGACCCCACAGCTACCACCTTTGTCGCACCGCGGGACGCAATGGCGCAGGCGAATTACACTGCTTTTACGGTGTGAAAAGGGCGTGCGTGAGAGAGTGGTATGTGTAAGAGGGGTGTGTGTGTGAATGAGGCACTACCTGCTGCGGATGTTTCCGCGATGCTACTGAGCCATCGCTGTCGCACCGCGAGAGGGGAACGGGCCACGCAGAGAGCAGCAGCAGCGGCAGCACGAGCGGAACTAGAGCCTGTGGAGTCGCTGTGCGACGACGCGACGGCAACAGCTTCGCTGAGCGACAAAACGACGAGGCAGCATTCGTCGCCGTGCGATGGAACGACGCCGCGGGCGACGTTCCTGTACGACGACGCGTTGCACTATGCGTCAGCATGGTGGCCTCTCAAATCAAGACCAAACATCGTAGGTTTATCCGACGAACGCCTACTCTAGAAAGGACGTTCGGGGAACTTGATTCAGAATAAGCGGGGACTATGTACCGTCACTAGACATGCTGCGCATGGACCTAGAAGGAGCGGGAAAGCTGGTAACAGAATCTGCAGCGAAAACGGCGAAGTATGGCTGATCACGTCCGCGACATCCGGCAAAGGATGAACTTGAGAACAGGAGCTGGGCACATCCCTGCGTTGAAACCCTAGTTTACCGACTTTAGTTGTTCTCTGTCGCGAGCGGACTTCACACGGTCGTGTGCAACAGTTGGAGCCTACTTCAAGCGGTCTAATGAGAACAAGATTCGACCTGTCGCTTGCAAGAAACCTGAATAGGGTTGCAAACGGAGCAGCCAAGGTGAAGCAGCCATTGAGCTCGCCGGCGTCGCATCACGACTCAAAGCACGGCGAGGCTGAGGCTACAAGACGGTGGCGAAGGGGACTGTGGATCGCACGCTTCTCAAGCAGATCAAGCATCCCATCGCAGCGACGTCGCAACTAATTCCTAGCGACCCGTGGCGACCATTCTCAATCGTGGCTCCCAACTAACACCAAGTACACCACGTGTGTAGCCTAGCTCAACTATGGCCAGGGATGGCTGCTCGTTTCTGAAATCTGGATCCAGCTCGCGACTTTCAAGTCATGCACGTCTGCACCAGTCTGAGTGCACTTGTTCCCGTGATACATCCCTTTCGCTGATGTGGAACGGAGGTCTTCTGGTTCTTAGCAAGTGCGAACGAACGAGCCTGGGAGACGGAAACGATAACGATTTTCCGTCATCTTGACGGAGTCTGGCTTTGCGCGAGATTCGTTCACTGTGGAAAGTTCATGGTGCAGTGAACTACACATGATGCCCAGCCAGTGCACGCGAATTTGCCCTACACCGGATGAAAACGCTACACCCGAGGTCTTTTCCCCAGCCTGTTGCACCCACGATACAAGCGCGTCGCGTGGTTATGGACCAATAGTAACGAGCAGACTGAAGTCAGACTGAAGAGACTGAAGTCAAAATGTCAACGAATAAGGTTACAGATCCTTAATATAAGCACCTGCGAACCCTTTTTAACTATCTGCGAATTGACGAAACCTATGCGAAATGCCCGATAGAGCTTATACGCCCCCTTTACAAGGCGACCGGTAGGAGCTCAAACCGGCATCGATTGTACACGCCTGTCGAACAGGATGCTGGTGCAGAGTCAACATTGGGCATTTCGGCAACTATCGCACGAATCCCAACCAAGGTTCCGTCACCCTTTTGTCGTCAGCTCCAGGCGATGTCGCACAGCGGGCAGCAGGCAAGATTCTCCAACCCAACCCCAAACCGAGATTCCATTCACTCTGGTCTGGCATATGTCCGTTGGCTTCGTGTTGTGCTCGAACCAAACAGCTTGACTTGGGCAGACCAGGCTTCCTGCAGAACACTTGGACCCATTGTTACTAACAACTCACTTAGTAAGGAAATTTCCTGAATCCTTAGTGGGTCACTCCCATACACAAACAACTCCAACTTTCAAAGTCCCAGGCTCGGTCCGATGACCTCGCCTTCCAATCATACTTCGTGTCGCTTTCGGGTTTGACAAACTTGAACCAGCAACCATCCTTCGCGACCCTGAAGACCCAGCCTAGCTAGCATTTTGTTCATTATTCAAACGGTAGTTGTAATCACAACTTCGATATTGCGTTCCGCGTAGGGCTCAGGTTTGCAGTGTAATTTACCCTTCTATACTGATTACAAGGGTGAAATTTTGGGTCTACACTGATATGCTAGGGTAATTTTTTGGTGAGTTAGTATTACACTGATCTGTAAGTGTATCGTCGTAGGCCACACTGATGCCTTGGGGTAAATTTTCCCTTAGCGAAGATTACACTGAAGGGCGTACGCAATCCCCCCTTCCCCCCCTCCCCCCCCCCCCCCCCCCCCCCCCCCCCCCTCCTCCCCTCCCCCCCCCCCCCCCCCCCCCCCCGGCTTTTCCCTGAAATTTGTCAGATCGTAATCATCACGCAAGTGCCGAGGATCCTTCAGTGCAGTACGTGCGTTGGCCGCAGTCGCGTGTTCCGTGTTGTGCTGAGAAAAGCCCTTAGGATATTTCAAGGCTAAACTCTGAGTAGAAGTGTTGTATTTGCGAAAGCGTTTAGTAACAAGTGTTGAACCACCTTGCGCTCGTATGTGAGGGCAAGATAGATTGATTCAAGCAAGAAGATACAAGGTTTTATAAGAGTACAAGGAATATGAAAAGATGCAGCTAATAACCGTTTTGCTGTTGCGGTTTGATACACTGACGACTCGGGCAACTGCTCAATAGCGAGTTCGTTGTTTGTCCTTGCTGTCGCGCTGTATTTGTCAAGTCAAAGGTTGCTGACCTTTGACCTTCGCGTAACCTCCAGCAGTTACTTCTCATGTCAACCTCCGATGGTTGACTCGCCATTGTTTCTCTGTAGTTTGTCTCGTTTGTAGTCCGGTGTTACGACACGTAAGAAGCGTTCAATTAATTGTTTCCAACACCCCCCTTCGCTTCTGAAGTGTCGCAGCTGGTGACGTGGCTTTGTCCGGTCAGCAGCATGCAGTACTCGAACTTCTGTTTTCCGAGCTTCTTGGTCAAGTAATCAGCTGCCATCTCGAACGTGGGACAGTAGGATAGCTCGAGTCTCCCCTTCTTGATCTCGTCTTTCACGAAGAAATATCGCAAGGCAAAATGCTTTGTCCGGTTCGCGAACCCATTCTTGTTCGCTATGCGAATTGCAGATTGGTTGTCGCAGAACAGAGTGAAGCTGGGTAACTGGGCCAACTTCGCTTCCTCCAGTAGTTCGAGAAGGTACAAGCCTTCCTTGGTGGCTGAACAGAGTGCAATATATTCTGCTTCAGCTGAGGAGAGAGCGATTAGTT